CGACCGCGTGTGGACTCCCATAAAATTATAAATTATCTTTTACTTATATTCCCACAATTTTAAATATAATTTTTTACTAATTGCCAGAGAAAATTCATGCCAAAAAATTTAATTCAAACTTCAAAAGTATGTTAGGATTATGACAAGAAAACTAAAATCTTTACATCACGCTAATAAAGACATATTAAATACAATAATCGTACAACGCACGTGACATCGACTAGTCTAGTCTAAAATTTGGATGTTGGAGAGAATTTTGGCCTATGTCACTCATGTTCTGGATCAAGGGCACATAGGGCTCAATTTAAGCCAAGATGTCACTCCCATTGTGGCAGTTGCTACATATCATGTACTGATTGTGTGCCACATAAAGTTTACTTGTGCCAGTCATGCATCTTCCTCAGCTAATCATGAATGTTAGGGTGATAACGTTTACAGGATTGCAAAATTTTGAGGGGTGAAAACATATTTGCCATTTGTTATATTTATATATAATTTTGAAGACACTGGCTAATTCATCCATATACATGCTAGATAATATATAGGGCAATTCATAAAAGATGTGATGAAAAACAATATCGCTTTATCACTCACAAGCATACATATGGTGAAGTAATATGTAAGTGCTGATAAAACGATTCTTCCAGATGTAATTGGATAACTCAGCAACCTCTCTTTTGTTTTGTATAAACAACCTTGAAATATTAGTGAAAGAATAAATCCTCAATTTCAATAAAGATCATCCAGCTGGTGTTTTATGATCTCAAATTTATTACAACCCCAAAATCTAAGTTGATTATTCCATACAATCAACTCAGTCTAAGGTTCCTAAAATAAATCAAGTATTCAAACTGGTACTTCCCTTTTCTTGGGTAATTTCTTCAATTTGATGTATCTTGTTTCTTTCTTTACACACTTCCAAATCCTTCTCAACACATTCAATTTCAACACAATTTTTGCCATCAACTATGAAGCATGGAGAGTCCGTCCTCCAACACGTGCCGTGTAGTGTCATGTCAGACACACCAACTCTCCACGAACACACACATGTTGTGTCTTATTTTTAATATATTTTCGATGCTCGCAGGATACATTTAACATGCTTATCAAGCAAGTGTGATACATGCCATGTACCGTGTCTCTTATCAAAAAGAATAAAAACGAAGATATAATATATATAACTATAAAATCATAAAGAATTTAAATCAACGTGTCCTTGTCTTAGCTTCCCAAAAAATACATGCCAGTGTCATATTGTGTAGTCTGACATTGTGTCCGTGTATGTGTCTGTACTTTTTTGGCCATCAACCTAGGGGTGTCAAAAAGGCTCGGTGGCTCGGGCGGCTCATGGCTCGGCTAGGGAAAAGCCCGAGCCCGCCTGGCTCGTGTCATTGGCCATTTTTGGCGAGGCGTAGATTTTGAAATTCAAATTTGAAAAATAACATGGATTTTTTGTCTATAAATACGGGGTGATTTTTGAAGTTTTAAATCACTTTGTTATCAATTTTAACTCGCATTATTTCGACATTATAGATTCAGATTCAATCATTCAAGTTTCAATTTCTTCTTTCTCACTTCTCATATAACAATTAATATATTCAATTTCTTTCACTCTACAGTCTAATATTCAGTGTTTTTTATTATACTAGTTATTATGGATTTTACAAGTGATGAAGTTAATCAGTTTGGCGGTAGCTCCAGAACTCCATCTAACTACGATGCATGTCAAAATGTTCCAATTAATTTAGAAGATATTGAAGATGAAGAAGTTCAAATACTCGAAACAAAAAGGTTAAAAAAGGAATCATCGGATTGTTGGCAACATATGAGACGTAAAAAAATTGGTGTTTAAAATGGAGTAGATATTTGGAAAGCATGTTGCAATTACTGTGGCAAAAAACTTAGTTGGAAGCCCGGTTCGAGCACAACGCATTCGAATAGACACATATTAAAGAGTTGCAAAGCGAAACCAGTCGAGCTCGACTCGAAACAGACCGAACTAGTGTTTGGCGGTTCTGATTCTACTCTTTCCACCTATGCATATTCACGGGAAATATTTCGTGAAGGAATGGCTGTAGCAGAGATGCCGCTTACGATGATAGACTCAATACACTTTACCCGACTCGTGCAGAAATATCTCCAACCCAGGTATTCTTCTTATTCTAGAAATACTCTTCGTTCGGATAGCATAAAATTATATAACAGAAGAAAGCAAGTTACCATTGAAGGTCTAACAAGTTTTAATAGTGTTATATCGTTTACCTCTGATTTATGGATTAGTTGTAATAGAAAATGTTATATTGCTACTACGGCTCATTATATTGATCACATGTGGCTTCTACATAAAAGAATTATTGCATTCAAATGTTTAGAATATCCCCATAATGCCACTAACATATACATTATTTTAAAAGATATCATACAGGAATATGGTATACAAAATATGGTTCGAAGTTTTACTTTTGATAATGATGCAGTGAACAAAGTTGTTATTGAAAGATTTATTGCTGATCTTAACCTCGTATTTGAAAATTTATTTTTTCACCAACGTTGTGTATGTCATATTATTAATTTGACTGTAAAAGCTAGATTAGAACATATAACTTCACCTTTAGATAAAATTAGACAAGTAATAAATTTTATTACTGTGTCACTAGCAAGAAAACAAACATTTAATAGTTTGTGTGCAGAGTATGGATTACAGGAGAAATCATTTGCCACTGATGTAGTGCATAGGTGGAACTCTACATATCTTATGTTACATTCGTGAGAAAATTACGATAAAGTGATTTCACTATATGATAATGGTAGACATACACTCGGACCCAAACATAATTTGGAAGATTGGGAATGGACTATTGCATTTTACGTGAAAAAATTCTTATAACCTTTTTTCGATGCTACAAATGAATATAGCGGTGTTTATTACCCCACATCTTCTCTTGTTTTACAATATTTTTCTACATTTTACAAGCATTTCATAAATATAGAAATTTGTCACTTTTTGCTAATGTAGTCCGCTCTATGGAGTTAAAATTTTGTAAATATTGGGAAGAGTTGCCTTCTTTATTTCTTTTAGTTTCAATAATGGACCCTCGACTTAATTTAACTCGCACAAAAGCCATTGTAAAGGGGATATCAGATTATTTGAATATAGAATTATCACATGTGCATATAGAATCTTTTTTATGTGAAATATATAATTATTATACTGAAAAGGTAGGTTAGGGTAGTTCTACTTCCTAAGGTTCTTTTTCAAGAAATATTTCAACAAATTTCAAAAATTTATAGAATTATTTAGATAGCAATACAAGTGTTCCTTCATTTAGTTCTAGTTCTAGTTCATCAACATCTAGAGCGATCAATATTGGTGGTACAAATCTTGAAATTCTTTCTGAGTTAGCTAGGTATATGTGCGTGGATGTTCGTAGTGTGTTGCAACCAAACGAATTACAAGAATTTAGTCTTTTAAATTGGTGGATGTGTAACGAAAGGCAATATCCAATTGTATCAAAAATTGCACGTGATCTACTAACACTTCCGATGTCTACGGTAGCATCGGATGCTGCATTCAGTTTAGATGGTCAAATTTTATCAGATGAACAATCAAGATTAAAAGAAGATATATTGGAGATTTTGATATGCTTGAAGGATTGGGAATGTGCGGAATTACGTGTTCAAGAACATGTTGACAGTATAATGACCGAAGAGTTGCAGCATATTCAAACATAGGATGTTGTAAGTTTTTAAATTAATTATTTTTTTTTAAGAAATGTATTTTTTAAATTTATTTGATTCAAAAAAAATTGTACACGAAATATTTTATTCGTGTACAATTTTAACTCCGCCTATGTTGATTGTAGTCGGTCCCAAGCCCGGAAAAAGGAGGATAGTTGTAATTTGTAACTTTTATATAATTTTTTATTCGTATAAATTACATAATTTTGTAAGTTGTACTTTTATTTAATCTGTAATTTGCATAAATAATAAATGATGCAATTTTTAAATTCTTTAAAAAAAAATATAAGTTTTATAATGCGATTAAATATTTAAAAAATATTCAACTATAACTATTTTAATATATTGAGAGAGCTTGATTGAAGTAGATTTTTAATAATATAATTTACTCCTATTTGGTTTGGTTAACAATTAAAATTTTAGTAAATCATTTTAAAAATTGATAAAATATTAAATATGTAATTAGAAGTTGATCCCATCAATATATGATTAAAAATGAATTTTAAAAAACAGAAAAGAGAATAGATTTTCTTAGGACCAATATATTAAAAATCCTTCTCTCCTCTCTATTCAAGTTGATTATACGAAATCTTACTAGAATACCTATATTTTAATATTCATCAAGTAATACCAAGTGTAAAACTGTAAAACAGACTTTAGGTATTTATTTAACATTTAAAAAGGCAAGAAATTAATATAATCATTCTGATGTTGCTACAAAATATAAGTTTTGCATGTATCTTTGACATAATGTGGTGATTTTACAGTTGTAATAATTATACTAAATTATGTTCACATATTTAGTTAAAAATATATACTGTGATGTCAATATTTAAATGCACAACATTGAATGGAGGTAAATGACATCCAAACATGTAAGCAGAATTTTAATTAAATTGTTCTTTGTAAAAATACTTTATTTATGTTTATTCTATTTGTATTTTTTTTATCGGTATTCTATTTGTATTTTTAAATTTATATGTTCATGTAAAATACCTGTGTACTATTATCAGCCCCATTTCTAATTGAAGACATAATTTCTTTGTCTTCTTCATTAAACAAATTGTACTACAACAATTGGCATGTGAAAAAAAAGTCATTAAAAATTATATAAAAATTGCCAAAAAAAAAAAATTGAAATAACCGAGCCAGCCCCGCTCGGCTCGTAAAAAGCCCGAACCAAAAGCTCAGGCCGAGCCCTTTTTTTTTTGGCCGAGCCTCGGTTCGGGCCCGGAAAAAGCCCGCTATGATTTACCCGAGCCGAGAATTTCGGCTCGGCTCGGCTCATTTACATCCCTACATCAACCTATAGCCTGCTTATCTCCACTTCTATATGTGCAAGCTACATTCATCTAAAGCACATTATTAAGACAAATCATAAACAGAGGCTCTTACAAGACAAGGATTTCGTAGGAGGAGGAGGTGACTTTGAAAAATATAAAAGCTAGTATTCCTATTAGTTGCAACTATGACTATCGATATTATCAGCATAGGAGAAGAGCTGTGTGTTTCTTCAACAGCCAAACTAAGAGCCACTAATTAACAAAGTAACTTAGGGCACAAAACTCAAAATCAAGATTTTGACTTTAAAGGTCATTCTTTTGTCATCAAGTGCATGTGTCAATAAGATAGTGTTTACCTGTTAATTGTGGGTCTAGTGGTTGGCTTCATCCCAAAAACAGAGAAATCAAATGACATAGGCACATGTTCACTCCTCTCTCCAGCTGCCTGTCTATTCTCGTTCCCATGTTCATCAATCTTGTCAAGCTGGTGAGTATTCACTTCAAATCCCTCACGTTGTGGCATCACTCTCCTTGACTTTCTTGGAGGAGACAATACAGTTGGACCACACTGTGAATTAAAATCCAAAACCTTAAAAGTAGCATGGTCCTTTTTTGGGGGAGGTCTAGATAGTGAAGCCGGTTCTGTTGGTGGAGGTACAGAAGAAAAGTACCTAAAGAAAAAGCGAAGGTTAAAATCCCACCATTGTATAGAAATCATCATCATGCCAAATCAAACGTACCGATGCTCCAACGCCCGTTGCGCTGAAATTCTAGCCTTTGGATCATAAGTGAACATCTTTGATAAGAGGTCCAAAGCATCATCACTTGCCATGGGAAATAAGGCACTTATTGATTGACCAGGAACATATTGGTATTCCACATAATCAGGAAGGTAGATCATATCTTGCCATTGAGGTGGCTTTGGGGTCCCCAAAGCTGCAAAGATCTTTCCCAATTGATCGATATCACTATTTCCCTAAAAAATTTTAATCGAAACTTTTTAAGAGAAATGTAACAAATTCAAAAGTGCAAAGCTAAATGACGACGGAAAACCATGTACAAAGAGTTGTTTTAACTCTTTATTTGAAGAATGGTTTGAGTGACAAACTTGAACTGCACCATAATACCTCTATGGAATTAAGAAAGTTCAAGTGCCTTCCCAGTTGCAAGGGATTGCTGTGTGGGGGCGGGAAATAAAAAAAAGAACACACAGAAAGAGAAAGAAAAGACAATAGACCATAAGAGTACAAATCAAATGAATGAAATAATTCCAAGTGAGACTTGAAATGGCAATTTTGCATGACCAGAAACATCAACATGCATTAACATTATGGACTAAGGCTGCTTCACCATTCTGACTAAACTACTCATGCCAATGCAATTGAAGTTGCCAGCAACATATGAGTCCCACATTACAAATTTGTTCTTCAAACTGCACGTGCATATAGATTTGGCATGCCAATTCTTATAATCACAGATTACCCAACAGCCATTCTTGGAACTATTGAAGCAAATGACCGAATCATCATATCAAGAAATGCAAAAATATAAACAGCAGAAACTATTTCCTCAAAAAAAAAAAAAAAATTATAAACATGAAAAAGGAAATTCACCTGCAGAAAAGGTCTTCGTAACAGTAGTTCAGCAAATATACAAGCTGCTGCCCAAACATCTACCCCTGGGCCATACTGCTTGGCACCAAACAACAGCTCAGGCGCCCTATACCATCTAGCAAAGACCTAAATAAAGAACAGACAACTATATATAAGTTGTGTAATAAAAAATTAATTGAAGGAAGAGAAGCAGACTGATTTGAAGTTATTTATTTATAATATAATAATTTGCACTCTTTTAGAGAATCAACATCATATCAGCAAGAACCAATTAGCAATAAGTTGATAAGTAGACAAAAAGTATCATAATTCTACAATAATATACAAATCTACATCAAAAAGCACAATGCAGAAGGGCCTATGAATGCATTTTTTTCCTAAAGTAGATGGAGGGGTTCCTGTTATAGTTGCACCATACAAATACATTTATAGTAGTGATGGAACCTCCCACAGAACCATGAGTCATTCACCTACTTGTTTTCCAAGTATAATCACAAACCACCTTCAGGAAATTACTGCATTCCACAACTAAACAGATTTAAGAATTCAACTTTAATATGTGGTTCGTATAAAGTGGAAAATATAAATTGGAAAAATAGGCCGATGGTACAAGGGGTATTTTTGGGTTTTGAGCTAGGATTAGTGTGTGTGTGTGTGTGTGTGTGTTGTAACCTTATCATTTTCACATTTAATAAAATCATAGCCGCTTCGCTCCCATGAACGTAGCCTACTGCCGAACCATCTGAATCTGTGTTTTTTCTCTCTTGCTTTCTCTTTGTTGATTCCATATCATTCACCATTATTTTCACACATAACACAACAAATTCATAACTTCAATCTCCACGAGATGTGATAATATATCAATCAGACAAAAAACCATTGCACAAATGTCAAAAACTTACTTTCATTCCAAAAAATTCAAATACCCAACAAAATTGGCCAAATATATTGATCACCTGTTTACTTAGTACATGCAAGTAGCATAACTGACTTCATCAGTTGAAGGTGCAATTAAAATCATCATTTGAGAGAGATTGTAATTACTCGAGGTCATGAGTTCATTTTTATCAACATGCTGAACAACAATGACTCTACACTGTCTAATAGGATGCATAATTATGGGAGAGAGCAAAATTAAACTTGCTGGAAGCTGAGTGAACTTGATGAGACAGGATTACTTCTAAGGATATACTGACTGCATCCATCAGTGATAAATAGGAGTACTGGAGAGAGCATACCTGGTGAGTGAGCCTTCGATCTGGGCTCCCAAATATACGAGCTAAACCAAAATCAGCAAGTTTAAGCTGTCCATCTGCTCCAATCAACAAGTTGTTGGGTTTCATATCCCTATTCATAAGTTGAAAACACTTAACATAAATTAAAGCAAGATAGAAACTTGATAGGAAATGCCTTTCAATAAATGTACCGATGCAAAACCCATTTCTTATGACAAAATGCAAGTCCTTTTAGTGTCATCTGAAGGAAGGACTTTATGTCAGCTGGTGAGAGCACGATATTCCTATCACGAATAACTGCTTCTAGATCCGTCTCCATGAATTCAAACACAAGGTGCAAGTTTCCCTTGTGAGGGAATGCATCGATCAACTTAATTATATTTGGATCATTAAGCTCTTTGAGCAATTTAATTTCTCTTAATGCTGTGAAATTAACCCCTTCCTTCTGCTTCCCAAGTCGAATTTTCTTAATGGCAACTGTCTGCTCTGTCTGCACGAATCAAAATTCTACTAATTATCCATCAAACCAATAACCTAAATTTGCCATGTTTAATTTGGGAAAAAAAAAATTAGTAATCTTGCCAGATAATTATTTTTCCCTTAACTTGAGAAGAATTGCAGCTCTTAACCCATCTTGATTCACACACATATGAACTCAACGTATAAAAAGAAAAAATCACATAATCTGATACACAGAAAAAGTTAAACGTATCAACTGTTCCGACAATCAAGTAGACTGGCCAATTAAATTTTATTTCATTACATTCCATTTTTCTCTCTTCTATTTCCAACCACATAATCTTCAGTAAAATAATATTACACTTAAATTGAAAATTTTTCTTTCTTTTCCAGCCATTCATTTTTCAAAAAAATACTATTCCACCCATTTTCATTTCTAGAAAATGGGGGCTAAACTAGAATCAAATGAAGAGTCAAAACCCTAAAACACATTCATAAAGGCAAAAACTTTCATAGAGGTATACAATAAACATACCTTGGTATCGATAGCTTTGTAAACGACACCGTAGGTACCTTCACCAAGCATTTCGCGTTTCAGGTACCGATCAGCGACCTTCTTAGTAAGTAACTGATCCAGTTCCGCCATTATTTCTCTTCGTTTATGCTTTACTTTCTTTAAAATTTAGTGTGTGAAAAATGGGCTCTCGCTGATTTAACTTAAATTTTCACAACAACAGAAATTAACCGTCGATGAAGACATTTATTACATGAATTTGTGAATTAAAAGTCGCCAGATAGCACATAAAATTGAGCTGATAAATATGCAGAACAGGGGAAGGGGAAGTGGGTGGGC